TAAAGTGTTGTGAAGTGAAGGAGTTACGGAAAATATCAATGACTAAGGCCAACGGACGATGCTAAGCGATGGCTTTCAGCTTGCGGTTCTCTCACTAGCCCCATTACCCCCTCACCCTCCACCTCCTCTCACCTTTTACTCTCACCCCTCCAGCTCCTTGGACCGGCTGCCACCTGCTTCTTCCATAAAATAATATTTAGTTCATTTATTATATATATATATATATATATATATATATATATATATATATATATATATATATATATATATATATATATATATATATATATATATATATATATATATATATATATATATATATATATATATATATATCTGAAAGCTCACGCCCCAGAAGTGACTCGAACCCATACTGCCAGGAGCACTATACAACTGGTGTACAGGGCACCTTATCCACTCGACCATCACGACAGGACAAAAGCTCATGATAGCTGAGGCTATTTGCCCGTCAGCCCGCCGGTACTCTGGTGGCAATCTTGGGCATAGTATTTTATCAAATCACCTCATTCTTTGGGGCACACGTGAGGAACACAGATGCGAACTAGCTTGAATGGTCCCCAGGCATACATGCAAATGAAATGAACTTATCAATGTAAACTTATAAATGCAACTTATCGAGTGGATAAGGTGCCCTGTACACCAGTTGCATAGTGCTCCTGGCAGTATGGGTTCGAGTCACTTCTGGGGTGTAAGTTTTCAGTGTGTGAAAACAGTGCTGCTGTTTTCTGTAAACTGTACTCTTCAAAAAGTATTATCCCTTCCCCCACACAAGACACACATTAATGGTCAGCCCAACTGGCTTGGTCTTAAGAAAGGTGCCACCAGATACAGTACATGGATGGTATGCATCCATACAGGGCTCCCACTCCCAATCCCCAAACTGATAGTTCCCTACACCGCTGGGGTAGTAGAAAGTAATTGATTTTCTTGATTTTATAAGGGACCTACTCAAACTAATTATTAGGGTTCATGATCTAGAGCCGTTTTATGTAATGTATAATGTACAATATTGATGTGTAATTTGAGTCAATGAATTCATTGTACCATGATCTGGATAAAAACACTGAGTAATAAGTAAAATGCTGTTGTGTAACAGCGAACGATAATGGGTAAGGGAAGGCTCTAACCTTAAATTTGGCTGTTTGCCATAGTCCTTGCACTCTAAGTATTTATATATTCCAAAACTGACACAAGTTTTAATTACTGTAGATTCATTATTCTTTACTGTACTGTTTGTGCTTGACTCCTTAAGGAAACTGCAACGTTCTTATATACCCCAAACTAGGCACAGATTTTCATTGTATATAAGTATTAATAATGGTATCGAGTATTTCATGCCATCCTAATGGATGATATGACAGAGGAATTAACCAAAGCATATCCTCTCAAAGGTGTTGATTATAACCTTGATGAGAGAAAAAAAACACATTACATAACTGCATACAGAATTGAGATAGATAAATTTATACTGTACTACAGTAGTTCTTCCATCTATTATAGAAGGCCTACTCTGCAAAAGGAGCCACATCTGTGTTATATAATGAAATTAGCAGGATTTACCAGAAGGTACTGGTTATTCCGATATTTTTTATATCGCATGCCTTTTGTGCTTTTGTTCTCCTATTGGCTTACTAGTGATATTTAGCTCCTTTTGAATCGCCTGTGACTTTGATGATGCTACATAGTCTCCCCAGCTTGGTGCCTTCTTTTGATAATTACTTACTTTAGATAGTTGTGCTGGTATAGGCTTAGGCTTGGCTATAAGTAACTGGGAGTTTGCACCACCTGCTGATTTAACTTTTCTATTTTTATTTACTGTATTTAGTTATATACAAGAAGGTACATTGGGTTGTGAAAGTACTATACTGTACATACATTGGTGTTTGAGCATTACAATCAAGTGACAGGATGAACAACCCAGCGGGTTTTCTTCCTATTCGGAAGTGTTGCACATGCTGCTATGGTGGTATGTCCACTCACAGGATGAGTGGCGCTGCCAATAAACTCGCCCCTCGGGGCAAAATTAGAAATTTTTGTTTGAATTCTTGCAAAGCCACTAACACGTATTGCATGTGTACAGTTATGTCTATCAATAAAGTAGTTATAGATGGGTGGAACAATTTGTTAAGCAGTGTCATTAGAGAGTTCTTAGTAAGGACTAAGACTAGTGGAAAAAAATGTTTGGGTGTTAACAGGGCTTGCAGCACATGGGCCAGTGGTCCTCCTATGGGGTACATTTTAGCACTGCATCCCCAGTCATTGGTCTTCCATGATACCTAGTGTTTATCAAGCTTACATACTGTACCTTATTAAGTGAATACATCCATCATACTCAATATATTTTAGATTCTTTGCAGACACCAGGATGAAAGTTTTATGTCATGGCATAATAATACAGTACATATGGTTCCTGCAAAAAGTATGCACATAATTAAAGATATATGATCTTGGATGGTACAGTATTTGGAAAGTATTAATATAAATAATGAGTAGGTAATTAGCATCCAGTAAAATGTCTTCACTATAACGGGGTTTGGGAATTAGAACTAATTTATTACACATTATCTGTTTAAGTTGTATTTTCTTCTATTCCATTTAGCAATCAAACTTTACTTCAATAAAGTGGGCACCTAGGGCATTGGGAAATGTTTCTGTGATCATTTCCGAAGGACAGTATATCATTACAGTATTTTATGTATTTAGTCTATTGAATACTGATTAATATTTTATCAATAATTTTTAAAATTATAAGTACTGTACCTGTACAGGTATTTATTATTTAAAAATTAACTAGGTGAAGAGCAGGGGTTCTCCAGGGGTTTATTCAGAGAACACTGTATAAACATCAGAGAACCACGGTTGTTCAACATACTCCAGCGAGTATAAGAAATATTGTCAGAACAAACGTGGACATCTTAAAAAGAAAACTAGATTGTTTTCGTCAAGAAGTATTGGACAAACCGGGCTGTGGTGGATATATGGGCCTGTGGGCCGCTCCAAGCAAAAGCCTGTTGGACCAAGCTCTCACAAGTCAAGTCTGGCTTCCGGCCGGGTTTGGGGAATAGAAGAACTCACAGAACCCCCATCCAGCAAGTATCCAGTAGATGCTACATAGATTCCTGGGCTTGGTGCCTACTTTGATTATTACTGTACTGTACTGATTTTAAATTAATAATATGAACTAATGAATTAGCATTGGCATCTTAACTCTTCAGCGATGTATATTAACTGAAAGTAAAGGTTACAAAACAATGACTTAAACTGACTTGATAAAGTTAAATAATATGAACTGATTAATAAGTTTAAGCCACTCAAAAGGTGGCACGGGCATGAATAGCCCATAAATTATGAACTGTAATTTGCTCAACTAAGTACTTCTTCACCTATATTAAATGCTGCCACAGCCAGAGTTTACCTGGCTCTGGACATTAGACTGATACAGGGTACTGGTATATTAATATACAGTACTGAGAGAATTACTGTACAATACAGTGGCCCCATCGTTTACGAATTTAATCTGTTCCCAGAGACGGTTCGTAACCCGAAAATTCACAACCCGAAACAAATTTTCCCATAAGAAATAATATAAATTGAATTAATCCGTTCCACACACCCAAAAATATTTTCAAAATACAGTACTTATCATACGTAATACACACAAATATTTAGAACTATATTATGTACAAGTTATAGCTTACCTTTATTGATAACTTGTTGTATGGAAGATGGTGAGGAGGGGGGAGGAGGAGAGGTGTTAGTGTTTGGAAGGGGAGTCCCTTTCCATTATTACATCAGGCACTGATGACTTCTCTGGGGTACTCTCTCTCCTACGTTTTGCAGACATGCCACTATGAACTGGTTGTGGGTCACTGCTTGCTTGTCTTATTAAGAATCTGTTTAAAGACATTTTTTTTCCCTACATTTTAACACTTGTTTATAGAGAGACATCACACTGTCATTAAGGAGGTCAATGCAATGCCCTGCTTGTTGGTGAGTCTTTTCAGCAAAACTTTGCAGTTCTTCCCATACTGCACACATTTTATTAATTAGTGAGGAAGGGACATCCTCTGCTGCTTCCTCCTCCCCTGAAGATTTGTTGTACTGCCTAGCTAGTTCAACAACCCATGTATCATTTTCATGTTTACGAATGAATGAATGATCTCTCGTTTTTCTCTATGGTTATCCTCACATGTGTTTTCTTAGGTTGAACCTTACCACTCACTGTCTTGGAACCCATGGCATGGTATATAATAATTACTTTTATGTTCAAAAAACAAACAAAAAAAAGGCGAAAATCAATTAAATTCTCTACAAAGAATTCATGCACCCTGTACGATCGTCACTAAGCGGGATGCACTGGTAAACTGAAGCACGGGTGACCGTGCCACCAGGAACCGTGCACTAGGTCGCCCATACGTGTATCAACAAGCTGTTCTCGAGGCAAAGCTCGTAAGTCGACTCACATTTTATGAAGAAATTGGGCTCGTAACCCGAAAGGTTCGTAAATAGGGGCATTCGTAAGCCGAGGTGTCATTGTACAGCTGTACTTCGACTAGCAACACCACATAGGTGGAGACAGTGCACGAACCTGCCCTTAGTGATCATGGTACGCATTGGTTGTTTAGTTCTAATATGCACCTGGGTTGCTGTTTTCTAAAGTTTATGCATTAGAATTTCAATGTATGCTAAAAAAAATATTAAAAGCTAACATTTTAATTTTAGTCAGTTCAAGTATGTTTATTGAGACAATAATATACATCTCTAAAGAATAGAGTAGCTTAGGCTATTTCTACACTCCTGCCGGGTAGGAGGAATATTGGTCAGGTTAATGGTACAGTACTGTACTGTATTATCTAGGCCAGTGTTGATACCATCTTAAGCAATACAGTACAGTACTATATAAGCCAAAATCAATAATTAATAGAAACATGCAAAACATTTGTTTATACAAGTACAGTACAATTGTATTTCCTCCACAGGTGGTGCAGGTGGAAAGGGAACCTGGGGAGCACTGGGTTCTGAATTAACGGAAGAAGAGTTAGACGGGGCCATTGATACCAATGATCCCAATTATGACGAGTCCAATCCAGACAACAAGGACTTCAAACTGAAGATCATTGATCTTGACAGATCGGACGAAGAACTTCAGGTATTTAGCCATATTATAAGTTTGTTTTCATTAAGGTTAATTTTTAATTATGTACCCCTGTATTACAATTACCTCTGTCAGAGGTAATTTTACTTATTATTGCATAAGATGATAATAAAAATCTTTAGGCTTTAGCAATATTTACTTGATAAAGTGAACTGCTATATATATAATATTAGACATAATCAGTACTCCTTACAACATAAGGAGGTTTCTGTTGTGTATCTGCTTCAAACATCCAATATTTACAGCATAGGGAAGGTTTCTTATGTAGTTAGGCTGTTGTTCTCCGGTTGAACATTTTAGTTACATTTAATAACTCGGTGATGAGGTGGAGGGGGCCTTGGAGAACTTAGCTACATATTACCACAGCAGTAGATTGTTTTCACCTTCAGCTAGCTCCTGTTCTTTTGGAGCCCATTTGGTTCTTGAATGGGGTTCTTTCCTTTTTATCCTTACCTTGATATCTTGTCCCTCTCAGCTGAGCAGTCATTTTTCAAGGTGGCTTTTTGTTGGAACTGGCTTATAATAATCACATTTACAAAGTTCATGTCTTTGCACCAAGACAGTGTTTTGTTCCTTTCTTCCAGTAACTTTGTCTCTCCCTTCTCCTGTCTTCTTTGTTCTTTTTAGGCCAATAACATTTCTTTGGGATCCCCTGTTGGACATTTGGTTTGTCCAGCTGGAGGTGCATAGTGTTTTGTGCCCCTGTTGCTGATGCTCAGTGTTATTTGCATGCTACTCATGCTTCCCAAGCTGTGGGTCTTTGTCAATCCTAATTCCTTGTTTTTTTTTTTTTTGTTCCAAGGACAAGTTTTCAGGTTATGTCAAGTGGTTCAGTTCAGTCAGCCTTGTGTATACTCACATACACATTGCACATAAGTATGTTGCTATTATTACCATCTTTACTAATATGTCTACTGCTAATATTCAAGCTCAAGGTTTCTCTGTCTAACCAGATGTTGGCTGCTTACTCATTTAACCAGATGTTGGATGTTCTTCATCCTCGTCAGGCCTGTGGGGCTTTTGGGCACCACTGTCTCCGAGCCCTTGGCTTCCAGCCTTCTCATCCCTCAGGTTAACTCATCTGTCTCTGTTCCTTTATTAATCTGTTTATTTCAATCCAATGATGATTTCCTCTCCAAGGCGGCACTGGGAGTATGCGTGCGTCATATGGCTAAAATTCAAGTGTTGAATATAATAAAATGTCCTTTTCCAGGGGAGGCCCTCGATAGTACTTCTTACGTGTCCTTTGCCCATTATATTTCCTGTGGAGATTAGGTCTGTCTTTGGAGCAGCATGTACTCACCTAATTGTGCTTGCGGGGGTTGAGCTTTGGCTCTTTGGTCCCGCCTAGGTCCCGCCTGGTCTCATGTGAGTGAGGAGGCAGACAGGATTGACCCCTGGGTGACCTAAGCTGTATCTGGTGGTGCACTTTGGCATTTCCACATGGCAATCTGACATTGGTCAGATTGCCTCTTACTTTGTTTCCATCTTTTCTCTCTAAAATCATGACAAGTCTTATAGTTTTCCTTCACCTGTACATTCTATGCTGTTGTATTCCATTTCGGGCTGATCTTGGATCTCCTAAACTCCCCTCGCTTCTAAGAGAAGACCAGATTCAAGTGTTGATCAGTAGGTCTGTACAAATCTAGAGGCCTGGTAGTTTTGTGGATGGTTCTATTGTGCCTAAGCTAATGCACTGAGGAGCTACCGAGGCCATCCAGAAAAGGGCATTTTATTACATTCAACTCTTGATTTTTTTATTTTTTTATAAAGTTCCTTCCTCTTGATTTAATATTGTGTGTGTAAATGTATGTGTGTGTGTTTATGTGCATTCTTCTAAGAAGGGAGTCTAGCATTTAACTGGTTCCCAAGGGGTCTGTGACCCAGAAAAAGGTTAGGTATCACAGTAATGTTCTAAACCAAATTGCATACTATTTCAGAAAGCCATTAAACACAAATAGCACACTATACTGTACATTATAAGCTACATACTTTGGAAATGAAACTTGAAGTAAGACTTTATGGTGCATTTAAGTACAAATGCATCATAAAGTAAATAAATTATTTCTATATTCAAAACTGCACAGTTACACATGTAATTCAACAGTTAATAATTTCTGTTTTTGTTAGAACAGTGTAACTTTTCCAGTTACACTATTCTAACATTTTCCGTCATCCCGCCATCCAGCATTCGCATCCAAAGGACAGTAACTTCTCAGATGCTAGAAACTCGGCTTGTGATCTGAACAATAATATCTCTACATTCCCATCCTGATGGTTCAATCTCTGTACCAACTCCAGTTTGTTTTTTGTTTTTTAATGGTTTGACCCTAATGCAGCCCCCTCTTCCAAGTGGCATTTATCGTTTGGAGATTTGCAGTCTTTTCCAACACTCTTTGCCTTTTACATCTTTTCACAACTGGTATGTAATTGTATAATTAACAACCTTCTCTACAGACATGCTTTCTCCCTCGTAAAGAAAATTTTTCGTATGGGTAGTAAAATTCATCACATTACTATACAGTACAGTACAGGATAGGAATATATGCAGCCGGAGGATTGTGTTGTTTGTTTTGACCCTTGTGTGCAAACGGGAGGCAGTGGGGTGGTATGGATGTGAACAGTTAAAATTTAGGCATAGAAATGAACAGTTTAAGAAGCCTGTGAGGTGTGGGAATAAAGTAAAGAATAGAAATGTGAAGATGTGTAATGCATCAGTTTTTAATCTTCAAGACTGTAGAGAGAGAGTACAGTATTGAGATATTTGGGGTGTTAAACAAATGAATGATGGTAGACTGGTGAAGTGTATGTGTGAAAAGTGAATTTTAGGAAGAGGAGGAGGGGGGGGGAGGCAGGCTGTAGAGAAGATGGGTGAATATGGGGAGTGAGTGAGATAGTGGTGATAGTGTGAACATCATACTGTACTGGATGTGATAAGGATTAAGTCTGGATGCATGCAGTAAGGAGGAAGTGAACGTAGTTGTTTGTACGGTACTGTAAATGACAACATGTAAGGATCATTGCACACCTGGTCTTATGAGGCGGTGGGTTGTTGCTGTGGATGACAGTTAAAGTGTGGTGGTGCTTGTTTATGAATCTATAGTATACAGTAGAACATAAATGTGTGATGAATGGACAAAGGATATTTAAGCATAAAAGATCATATAAATGCAAGTATCATTGTTAACAACAATCTCTCCTGTTGCTCTTTATCACCAAGTCTTTGTTCAACACTGAAGACTCTTTCAACTGCGTCACTATGCTGGTATTATTATTACTATATTTTAAAGCCGTGTTACATGACTTGATGATGGTCAGGATATACTGAAATGTCATCATTTCTTCACTTTCTGATGTGTGGTTTGGTTATCACTGTGTTTAAAATTTTGAGAAACCTGACCTTGTTACTGTTCTGAAGTTTTTCCAAAGTTTGAAATGGTCTGTATTTACTACAAGTAAATTTTGTCTCTGTTTCCTGTTCATGAACAATACTAAACATCTTTGCTCAACATTCTGAGCTACAATAATGCACGCAGATTCTTGTACTCGACTTATCTGCAAACCTTTCATCAGTTAATGAAAAGCCTTATTACTCTTTTAGGATGTGACCATACCTCTTGTTTCCTCAAATGAACTGTAATAAAACAAAGTGCAGACAGTGATGCTATGTTAGACACACCATACTGGATAGAAAATTTATTTACAGACACCATTTTGCTACATGAGCTTAAAAGTCTACAGAGAGTTCACACTAGCTCAAGCTATTTGGGTGCAGAAGGAAGGTTGAGTGAGGTAAAGAGGTAAGGGGATTAGTGAAGAAGGGTTGCTCACTTGTCTGGCCTCGCATGCAATATTGCTCTTATTTATTATGTTGCATGTTAGTTCTCCTGTGTATTCCTTGATGGTACCTGCTGCACAGTACATATCAATAACTTAAGTCATGTTCGCTCTTTCTCTCTTCCCTTCCACTTCATATCTATAATTTTCTATCATATCCATTTCTATTGTTGCTTTAGTTCTCAATTGCTTTGTTCAAATCCAAGTAGGCCTACCCATATCAATGCCATCCTTGTACTGTAAATACTTACAATGGTGCTCTGAAGCTTGGCATTGATATACAGTATTGTCAAAACCACCATAAGTAAACAGCCTTTATTCAGTTTCTGCAAAAGTAGTGCTCCCTCCAAATAACAATAATTTTTTCAAATGGACCAGTACTGTTTAAAGCTGAGTTAATATGGCTCGCTAGAAGCATGCTAAGCCACTGAGGTTAGGGTAAACTGTTGGTAGTGTTACTAGGTGTTGCTGTCCTCTAGCTCTCTCCCCTTCTCATTAATATCAATATACAGTACAATGAAGTGTGTATCTTCATCCTTGGTTTGCTTTTAGGTGGTCCTTGTTACCATTACAATTGTCTAAGGTACAACCTTCTTTATGTTGACCTGACCAATTAGGTTGTGGTTTCTGGTAGTGTACATAAATATGTATTAAATAATTTTGCATTACTTATTCTCAAAATTTGTCTTGAACATTTATAGTGTACAGTACAGTAGTAGGGCCCGGTATTACTCCTAGTGTACTGATGATATGAATGAAGGGCAATTTTGAAGCACTGGGGTGCTGTCATCACTCTGCCTGACAGTCAAATCTACCCATCAACACTGAGCACATTTCTAGTATAATGCTTGAGTAACAATAATACATTTTCTGATTTCTGTAATAATTTTTCCATTCCAGAAACAAATATCGTCCCTAGTGGCTGAATATTTTGATCATGGAGACACACATGAGACGTACCTTTCCTTCGAGGAATTACAGGTGTCGACGCGTGCCCACCTTGTAGTGGTGACGGCTATTGAACTGGCTATGGACCATAAACCTTCTCACAGGGAGATGACCAGTGTTCTCCTGGCTGACCTTTATGGTCACCTGCTTTATGAGCCTCACTATACCAAAGGTATCAAACCATCCACTATCCCAATACTAGTGTCCTATTTTTTCAATTATACACTATAGATCTAGACATTATTTATACTCTTATAATGAATGATACTTTAGTAAGTCGTTTCATAGTTTTACTGTTGTTTCATGAGCCTGAACCAATACCTTGAATTACAGTACTGTAGTGAGCTAAACAGATTCATTCCTCTGCAAGGACTCAATATTTGTTGTAATATTATTCTTTGAAATGCAGTACAGTATCTGAAAAAAGTTTTAAAAGAATTTATCAGATTGAAGTGTTGACCAAATTTTACTCACTGGAGTTTAGTAATATCCTTAGGGAACAAAGGACATGGAAAGTATTCCCAGAGCCAGTTTATGAGATTTGATTTTTCTTCTCACTGGATAGTGGAAAACTCATAATACAGTAGATGCTACATATTTTACATATGCATCAGTTCAGAGGTATGCCACCAGACTAGTCCTGGAGCCAAGAGGTATTAATTATGAGCAAAGGCCAAAAGGAATTAAACCTCGCTTCACTGGAAGAGAAAAAAAATGGGAGACATCTTTACTACACAAAGTATCGAGGGTAATTGAGACTAGACAAGGACAGGCTGTCATTGCAGTCACCTGCTCACTTTACTCCTTATCAAAATTGTTGTAATATATTGCCTGTATAGTACCTGGTATATAATTTCTGAATTACTCGTTAGTCGTCAACCTTAATCTGTGTTACTGAACATATTTTCCTTCATTAGTCACTTTGCTTCTTCAGAGACTAGTATAAATTTGTTGACATGCATTTACAACAAGAGAGTAGGTATTTTTAATTTAAAAAAAAAGACTACTGTACTACAGTGGCCCCTCCACTTATGAATTTAATCCATTCCCAGAGACGGGGCTTGATTCGAAAATTCGAAACTAAAAACAAATTTTTCCATAAGAAATAATGTAAATTGAATTAATCGGTTCCATTCTCCCAAAAATATTAACTTCTAAATACATTTCGTACATAATACACACACATATTTTTTAATATAGTACTGTATGTACAAGTTATATCTTACCTTTATTGATGACTCTTGTTGGCGTATGGAAGATGGTGAGAAGGGGGGGGGGGGAGTAGGAGAGGTGTTACTGTTTGGAAGGGGAGTCCCCTTCCATTATAACATCAGGCAGTGATGATTTCTCTGGGGTACTCTCTCTCTCTCCTATGTTTTGCCTGTATAACACTAGGACCTGGTTGTGGCACGCTGCTTGTTTTTCTCACTAAAAACCTTTCCATAGAGACTTTTTTCCCTACATTTGAACATTTGTCTGTAGTGAGGCATCATAGTGTCATTGAAAAGGTTAAGGCAACAGCCTACTACAGCTTGATTTGGGCGAGTCGTTTCAATAAAACTTTGCATTACTTCCCATACTGCACACAACTTCTTAATTGTTGAAGAACCCATGGTGTGGTAGATAATAATTACTTTTATGTTTAGAAAGCAAAAAAAGCAGAAAAAAAAGATTCTTTACAAAGAATTCAAGCGTGATCGTTACTAAGCGGGTTGTCTGTTAACTGAAGCGCGGTTGCTCGTGCCACCAGGAACCATGTGCTCCGTCGACCCATACCTGTATTAACAGTCACAAGTAGAGGCAAAGGTTGTAAGTAGAGTTGAATTTACCGACGAAACTGGGGTCGTGACTCAAAAAAATTTGTAAGTTGAGATTCCACTGTATAAGCATGGAAATGGTGTCATTACTACTGTACTACTACTACTTACTACTGCTTAGTTATCATTACTACTGTATATTTGAATATAAACTCCAGACATGACAATCACTGGAAAATAAAAGTAGGGAGTACTTTAGATAGTAAATAGACATTCAAACTATTATATGTATATATACTGTATTGTACACCTAAAACACTTGAGCAATATACAGTAGATTATAATACAGAACAAGGGAAGGCACATTTATATTAGAATTTGCAAGGTTTCTCTTCAAGAATTTCGTAACTTGATAATTCATTGCTACAATGCGATGTGCCAACACTGCCTAAAGCTCTTGCCTGTTTCTCTCCACTCTCTTACTGACTTCTCCCTACTTTTCCCTGCTCTCACTTTTGACATCTGGTTTGTATTCAGATCCCAGTAACAGTTTCTTAATTGAATATTGGTTATAAAGGTTATGAATACAGTGTATACTGTGTATAGTTGCAACCGTTATAAATACACTGCCTGCCTACATGAGAGATTGTGTGAACAATAACATTCCAATACTGTACCAACACAAATGTTTGAAGCAGAGGAAGAATAAATTGAGGAATATCCCCATAATGAGCGAAAGTCGGGAAAAGCATTGACAAATTAAAGGACTCTAAAGCTCCAGGTGAAACTAAATACTGCCACTGAAACTACTATTTAGAAAATCTCTGGAACATGAGAAAGCCCCTAGATTAGAAGTATGCAAATGTCACCAGCCTCTTTAACAAAAAAAAAATAGAGAGAGCTCAGGAGAAAACTACCAACCAATCGGCCTATATATTTGCAAGCTCATGGAGAGAATCCCGAGGGAATTATTCACCCTCTCAGTGCACAATGTAGTAAAATCAACACATTGTTTTGTCAATATAAATCCTGCCTTATTTACCTGCTAACATTTTTGGAAATGGTAACCATCTATATAGATAAAGAACTCTCAGTAGGTATAATACATGGATTTCTCTTAAAGGTTTTCAAAAGGTACCACATGAGACTGGTAAAGAAATTGCCAGCACATGAAATAAATTATACAATACAAGAATGGTTAAAACAAAGGAAGCAAAGGGTCATTCTAAATGGAAAATAAATCTGACCAGAAAAATGAGTGGAGTGCTGGAAGGTTTCATCTTTGGGCCAACCCTTGTTGTCATGTACCTGGATTGTACCTGGATGAGGATTTTGGGAGTTCTTCTACTCCCCAAGCCTAGCCCAAGGCCAGGCTTTTGACTTGTGAAAGCTTGGTCCAACAGGCTGTTGCTTGGAGTGGCCCGCAGGCCCAGATATCCACCACATCCCGGTTGGTCCAGCACTTCTTGAAGAAAACTATCTAGTTTTCTCTTGAAGATGTCTACGTTTGTTCCGACAATATTTTTTACTCTCTCTGGGAGTATGTTGAACAACCGTGGACCTCTGACGTTTATACAGCGTTCTCCGATTGTACCTATGGCACCCTTGCTCTTCCCTGGTTTTATTCTGTATTTTCTTCCATATTGTTCACTCAAGTATGTTGTTATTTTACAGTGTAGATTTGGAACCTGGCATTCTAGTATTTTTCATGTATATTATTTGATATCTATTTATTTATTCATTTATATGCAAGAAGGTATTGGGTTTATGAGAGTACATAGCATTGATGTTTTTACATCCTTGTTCAGCCACTAGCATGCATAGCATTTCGGGCAGGTTCTTAATCTAACAGATAATTTTAAATAGGTAAATTCTAGCAAAATTAAAAAAAAAAATAAGTTTACGGGTACATTGTAAGAAAATTTGGTAAAGATTAGTAGGTACATTAAAGTAAAATTTGAGGGTTATCAACAGGTATATTGTAACATAACTTGAAAATTATTTCCAGGTATAATGCAGCAAAATAATGTGTTCAATTTAACAACCATGATATAAGGTGATAGCAATGATTACAATGGTAATCATGAATATGATTATGAATTAAGATTATTGCAAACCACATCATCAAATTTGTAGATGACACTAAGATCTATGGTAAAGTAGGAAGCAAAAGTGATATTGAGGCCTTATTCTTTTTAAAGAGAGATCTGTAAGTGATTGGAAGAAGCAAATTTTTTTCAATACTGATAAATGCAAGACCTTGCATATAGGGCATAACAGTGCTGCATATCACATCTATTAAATCGACAATGCAGCAGGTTCGTGGCTCTGTCGTCCAGCCCAAGTGGTAGTTCTAGATAAATACTTCAACACTGTACAATACTTGTCACTGAACTTGTAGTTGCGGAACAGATTAATGCTTGTAGATTGAAAAGTGCTACATCAGATATGTTCATTTATTAGAAATTGTCTGCATATACTGTACTGTGCAAACATAAACTGCATAGTCAATTTTCTTTACTGGAATATGAATTCTGTTACAGTATTCATATAATTTGCAACTTATGTTTGAGAAACAAGCTGTCAGTGGTGATACAGTGCTAAGTTTTCTGTGGGGGCTTCCCTTGGGGACCCCACTATGGGACCTACCAGACAGAGACATTTAATTACATTCAATGCTGGATTTTAACAAATCTATTATCTCTGTAATTTAAACATTCCATTCAGTTCTAAATACAGAAGAGATATTGCATGTTAAACTCTTTAATTACTTTACTTCTGGTAATAAAAAAATAATTGCATATCTAAATACTGTATTGTCAACTCCTGCACCATGTGATAGACATGACTGGACTAATTTGCTAATTTATGGAAATTTGAAAGGGCATTTGCTAATTGTGGCTTGTCTTGTTTAATTCTAAGCACTGGTAGCTCATAAACAATATTCATATTTGAATTGACACTTATAGAATGATATTTTCCAGGTTACGATATGCTTATAAAGAACCTGAGTGACCTTGTGCTGGACACTCCAGACGCTCCTACCATCCTTGGCAATTTTATTGCTAGATCCATTGCAGATGACTGCATACCCCCAAAGTTCCTTCAAAGTTATAAAGGCAAAGTAAGTGCTACTGTATATAGTAACTTGTTGCCTTCCAACTTGGATTACTTTTTGTACCTTCTCATTTAAAATGTAATGCTGTTATTTTGACATTCTGGACAATGCTGCGTAGTACTGTGTGTATAGGGCTCACGATTTTATTTGTCAAACAGGTGGATTGTGAGCATGCAGTTGTAACATTGGCAAGATCAGATAGCTTGCTGTCCATGCGTCATGGCCTGGTGAGGTTGGATAACGTTTGGGGTGTGGGAGGGGGAACCCGACCCGTTAAGTACCTGGTGAAGAAGATGGTACTCTTACTGGAGGAATACCTTTCTTCTTCAGATGTTGCCGAGGCTACTAGATGCCTTCTGGAACTGGAGGTTCCTCATTTTCATCATGAATTGGTAATTTTTTATTTCTATATATAAGTTGCAAGGGTTCTTGTGGCATCCTTTCGCAGGATGTAATAATGGAAGCTTAGGCATACAGATGAAATATAAATTAAGACCTAGCTATTTTAAAGATAAATTGTTCTGTTCATTAAAATTTTCAGACATCATATATTGAAAAGTATAGATGTCATTTATGTCATGTAATAAAATGTAAAATATACAATAGAAAGAAAATTACTGAAAACTTATTTTATAAAAATGTTATAAGGGTACAGTTTCTGAATTCAATTTTGTTTCCTTGATAAGTACATTGGAAACAATTTGTGTGTGATGCGTTATCCAATACTCAATTAAAAAATATTAATGTAAACTTTTCAGTTGTGTAACCACAAATTATCACAATTATAAATGAGGGGCAACACAATATACAGAGGATCAATATCCATTCATCCTATTGCCCTCCCGAATACAACTAAAAAGTTACCTACATTTGAATGCCTCTGAATTTAACGGAGCCCCGGATTTAACGACCTGGATAAAGTCCCATGTAGATCGTTAAATCCTATATGGGGATTTATGACCCTGTATATTGAGGGGCAATTCAATGTACAGAGGATTGTTAAAGTGATGCATTAGTGGTTGTGTGTTTTACATGTCTTACCTATGTAATTCACCACTGGTCATTATCATGTGTACAGTATTTAGAATTGCATAAATTTTAGTTTTTTAAATTTGTATTTGTTCAATTTTAGTGTTTGTGGGAAATGGTGATGAAAGTGTAATTATTTATTTTATGTCATTGCTTGCTTTTACAGGTGTACGAAGCTGTAGTAATGACATTAGAAAAGATGGATGATCGTACCTTAAGACTGATGTGTGATTTATTAGGATCACTCCACAGTGCTATCATCATCACGCCAAACCAGATGAAGGCTGGCTTTTTCAGGGTATGTTAATATGTAGTCACCTTTGTTTTCATCTGCATCTCCATCCTCCCTTCCTTTGCTTCCTCTTCCATCCTCCCTTCCGTCTCTTCCTTCCTCCTCCATCCTTCCTGTCCTTCCTTCCTCCTCCATCCTTCCTGTCCTTCCTGCCTCCTCCATCCTCCCTTCCCTTTCTCTTTTGGTTTAGCTGTAGTGGCCCAGTGAAGTTGTGTGGATTTGGTAGGTGTGTGGTGAGGTGGGTGCTCCGGTGTCAGAGCTGTGAGTGACGAGATAAAGTGCTGCAACAGCAATAATTCACTCGATTGATTTTCATTGTTACTCACTTGACTTATTTAATTCTTTCATGCTCACATATTATATTGATATATCTGTATAGGAATATTCATTATTTAAAACTTTGGAAATATACACATTCACAGATACATGTATAAAAATAAGCACACCCTGTATTTATTCATACCATGTTACGGCCTGTTTGAGCCAGTAACTGGGTTCTTTCTGCGTAGTGTGCCTTAGAGCCTCTTCTTCTATGATCCCACTCCAAATAAATGGTAAGTTCTCAAGAATTGGCGATAGCAAGAAATAGTGCAAGGAATAAAAGGGGGGGGGGAACAAGACACAATTACACCTTCACCAATATATTAGCTATCGAAGTATAACTACACTTATGTACACAGTGTCGCTTTCACCCCAGGACACTCGATATACCTGCAGTGTTCTTCAAATCCCGGTGAGTTCACTATCTTCAAGTATACGTCAACCACGCTCAATGGTAATCACCAGCGAGTTCACCTTCTTCAACGTGGGCCAGTCCATACACTAATCGTCACGATGTCCCAATACCCCACATCTGCTCCAGAAACACACTGGCAGAGGACTTCAGCAATATGCTGACAGGGGTCACAAATAATCACTTTCAGGGGTCTCTAACACCCTGGCAGAAGTCTTTAGCAACACACTATCTTGAGATTATCTTGAGATGATTTTGGGGCTTAGCGTCCCGCAGCTCGGGCCTCAACCAGGCGTCCTTTTTGTTACCCCCCCCTTCAAGGAAGCAGCCTGTAGCAGCTGTCTAACTCCCAGGTACCTATTTACTGCTAGGTAACAGGGGCATCAGGGTGAAAGAAACATTTTGCCCATTTGTCTCCGCCTCCACTAGGGATCGAACCCGGGACCTCAGGACTACGAATCCGAAGCGCTGCCCACCCAGCTGTCAGGCGCCCTTAATACACAATCACTAGCAGCACTTTTCAGCAGACGGCCACTACTGTTGTTTTGTAACTCCTCTTGACCAAATTTCGGGTACGTGGGTCCACACAACACTGCCTAAGTACAACAGCCAACACACTGCTTACTACCGACGGCAGCCACTTGTCCACTCACAGGAACAAGTCAGGAGTTCTGGACTGCCCTAGGTGAACTGCTTTCCACAGTGCAATAGACTCTACATCGCCTCTGTAGACATAAGTTATTAGCCAGACAGAAAGTATTCAGGGAGAACATAGGATGGCAGCCTTTCACCGGGAACTGTGAAATGTAATTGGATGCACAATCTAGATGGCGTTGATATCGTTACTTCACTCACCAGAGGTCATCATCATCGACCTTACCTCCTAACTGAGGTATGAAACAGGAGCCTTTCACAGACGCCACACCTCTGTCAATAAATGGCGTTGCCTTTGTCTCACATAATACCTTGGAGTTGGAATGCAGGTCCATAGATGGCACCAATATCACCACACCTTACTCCATAGACGGTGTTGATATCGTAACATACCATTACAGTATTTATGTGAGCCTAATGCATTGTGCATGGTACTAGCAGGCATACTTGCATCACAAGCACCTATACTCGCCATACTACAAACAGCAGATACCAATATAATTATTTTTGTCACAATTAGTAGCAAGTTTTCCATTTTTAACCACCAATGAAATTATACTTCTATCTTACACCATGAACACTAAAATATGGTCACAACTAGTAACAAAATTATTATAAAGAGGAGTGGCCTTGAATGGGCAAACAGGCCTTCAGCAATTTCATTTATTCCTATATTCTAATATTGGATATAAATAAGAGCTCACTTGCATGGGCCAATAGGACTGTTTTCTTGTCATTTACATTTTCAGCAGAATTGGATATTGTTGCAATATATGTTCTATTTGGCAACTGGAAGTGTGTGTGTGTTGTCAGTATGCATCTTATCAATCACCACCCACACTTGTACCTCAGTTTCTCATCCCCTTGATGTTAGAGCAGCATATTTCGTATTCCAAGGGATAATACTCAAGTTAACTACCATAATTTTTATATACAGTATTCCACTTCATTACTAAGATCTTTCAGGTCCATCAGAGTATCTGCAATTTTGTATAGGATCAGTGGCATTGGATGATGATGTGCTAGATGTGGTGTGTGTTATTTTGCTATGGCTCTAGGAAGGAAACTAAAGGAATTCAGGATTTTTTCCAAAATGACAAATGAATGAGAGAGGTTTTTAGTGTCAAATGACACCCCCCCCCCCTAGAATTGGAGGGACTTTTGAATAAATTGGGCACCTTAAATCATCTCCAGGTGATGGAGAATATGGATTAATCACGTTTGTAGTTAATGTGATATTTTCATAATCATAATGTTATATAATGTATTGTAGTAACATTAGTTTGTCACTGTATTATTGGTTATACAGTATAATAAAATTATTTTACGAGATGGTTAAATTGTCGCAGATTCGCCCCTTCCTGGCTGTTACTTTGGTGGCTGTCTTCTGCCCCTGGTGTGTGCCACTTTTGTTTTTTCTCAGTGGTGACAGTACTGTACCAAGATACTGGTACACTCCAAGAAAACCAGGGATTAAATATACTGAAACACGTCTTTCTGGTGGGTCCTTGATGGCTTCTTGGGACCCACTCTCCCTGTCCCCCATTTAGTGGTCTTGGTTTTCCATTTTCCTGGCTCTGTGACTGAGGGTTTAAGGTTAAGAGGTTTGAGGAGGCTCCTGGTGGTATACATGGGTAACTAATGTGAAAATTGCTTATGCTGAGTAGTTCATGAATCTTGGGGCTTTGCTCTCCCATTTTCTATGGTTTGTTTACCTTGTTGTAGTCTGTTTTGACTCCCTTTCTCCTCCTTTCTGGTGGCTTTTCTTTGGGGGATTTACAATTCCCTGCACCTTGTGCCTCTTTAGAGAGGGGCAGATTTTGCCTTCTGGTCTCTGATAGGATTATGTACGTCTCACAAAGGTCTGAAATGGATTTAATTGGGTAGAGCCAGATCCCTCATAATCTTCCTGATGTGAGTGATCAGTGTTTAGTTACTATTAGTGTATAATTTTACAGTATATTAAGACTACACAAAACTGTGCTCTTGAAGGAAATGTGTTGCAGCATACAGTGTGTAAGACTAAATTTCACTTATATGTATTATTGAATCACTTGGCAAGTTTTTTTAATGCTATCTTAATATTGCAGGTATATGAAGATATGCCACAAATATGTGTGGATGTACCTCCAGCATATACAATATTGGAAAGATTTGTCATGAAGTGCCAAGCTGCAAAGGTTGTCAGTGATGATGTTGTGAAGAAGTTACCCGTGAGGTAAGAAATTGGGTTTACTTTGATGTTTAGACTTGTATCCTCTTCAAGTAATAAATTCCTATTTCCCTGTTACAAACTGAGATGTTGTTCCAAGTACTGTAGTTTTGGTGTTGTTACTTGAACCAAGCTTATTTGCCATTGTCCTGATCTTGATTTCTGCTTTCAATTTAATTTATCATTTACCGACTAATTTACTATTTACAGTTGGAATATTCACATCGAGGCAAGGATTGTTTGCCTTGTTACTTTTGGGTACTGTACCTAGTTTTCTTCAGGCAGTTTCTTGTTTTATTGTGCTTATTCAATGCTTTCTGGTTGGTTTTCCATCATAATTTTTTTTTTTAAATTCAGCTTTGTCAATTCATCTTCGCACCTCAAACCTTTAGCTTTGTCATGCTATAGCTTATATACTGTACAGTATCATATTCTTTTCTATTGGTCTCAATTAATATCATGCTGGTATACATTCGTAACAAAGTTAATTTTAACTGCAGATATTATGTCACAAAACTTATTTGTTTAATTTATTTTTCAGAGGGCGTAAACGCTTTGTGTCGGAGGGAGATGGTGGTCGCATTAAGGACGATGCCTACTTCTAATCAGTCAGCCCACACACCTGTGGTGCCACTAAGGAATCTGAATGGCAAGATTTAACATTTCTTATAATTTGGATTATGTATTGTGGGATTTCCTGTTCCTTGGAATGCATTCCTAAATTTTATTATGAATAATTAAGTTCTAATATTTTGGATGGATTACATTTAAGTATTACAAATAGTATTGCATTAAATGTATAGATTGTTTTATTTAATTTGATGATATTGATTTTGCTCTTTATTTGGATTTGAGCAGAGATTTCCTATGTGGTATCCTAGCGTGAGTCATCAGATACAAAGAGGAGACTTGAATGCCACAGAAATATCAAAATCTGTCTCTTCTATGCATGTGAAGACTATTGCTGTGTGAACCGAGTTTCCATGTTGTTTGCAAGTACTCTGGTTAATGTGGATTCTTTGATAGTACAGTATACAGTATTACACATTATTCAAGGTGTCCTAATTTTGAATTTTGTGTATTTTGGACAAGTTCGTTTTCATTTTACTGAAATTTGAAACATCCATTATGTAAACAGGTGGAGACTCTGCTTGTACTGTAGACAGGTAGTGCGTTGCTTAATTATGTCCTACACCTTACGCTTAATGCCACTTTCCTAGTTGAAGGCACAGAGACGGGAACTACACTATTTCATGTAAGCCAAGGCAAGCATCTTGGGTGATGGAGACTTGAATTCTTTTTAAATCTGACATGGAGAATCTAAAAATTGACTACAGAATGCAAAGCATTGCACCAGGTAGTAATCTGCTTAGTGTGCCTTCCTCTTGGAAATGGATAAGGTTAGCCTGCTCCTGACACTTGCCAACGTGGTCATTTTTTTAAATTAGAAATACCGTACATGACATATAAGATCGGTGGTTAGCGATTTGTTTTCCATGATTGTACCTAGACCAGTGACATTAATCATCGTGGAGCACCACGTTGGTGTGTGCTAAGCTTTATTGTTCCCTACCGAGCTGTACCTGTGTATCGTGCGTATACTTGTTGTTTCATATAGCAAAGAATTTGTTGCTCACTTGTGAATACTATTTTTTCTATTGTAAAAACTATGGGATAGGAAACCCAAATGTTCCATAGTTATAGAGCAAGTTTTCTTTTCACTACGTGAGATTTATACTCTTGCCAAGTTGAGCAAGAGTTGGAAAGTACAAGACTAATTTTAGTTTTGAAAACTTTACAAAAAAAATTAAAATCTCTGGCCATCCCTTAGAGAGGGGCCTGGGACCAGGGAAGAGGATTGGTATGCCACCTTTGTCAGGATAGATGCATAGTGGGGACTATATGTAATTTGTAATTCCTACATATTGGGTCAGGTAGATTTTTTGGGGAAAATAATTTGTTCAACATACTGGGGGACAAAATTATATACTATATTTATGCATTTTGTTATATATGTATTGACTTTGTTTAGTTTCAGTATGCATCTGTTTGTGACAAGGTATAATTTTTACCTTGGGATTGTAATTGATTATAATTGCACAAGAAAAGTACAAAAAAATTGTAAAAATGTGAAAAATCATAATAAAAATTGCAAAATGTTTTAAAAGGATTTGTTACTTAGCCTTCATTATGGAAGATAACGTTCTTATACTTTATTGGCATTCATTTCCAATGTAGAGAGGATGAAGAGATTTATGATAATGTTATGTTAGTGTAGATGTTGGCAGATCAGACCACAGAACAAATAAATCATATGGATGGGAAGAGACCCCACTGATCTGTACTGAGGTTACCTGCCACTGTTACTCAAATTTCCGTTGCTGAATGTTATATCACAGACCTGTGAAGCCAGACCTGTACAGCAGGTGTGCCCTCGTATCCTTGGCTTGCACTGCTGCCAGTTACAATGATAATGAAAATAAAAGTATTTGAAAAACTTTCATGTAAATTTAATAGCATGGGGAACATTGAATCCAGTTTTATTATTCACTATACGAGTCCCCCCCCCCCCCCAAAAAAAAAATAAAGCTAAAAACCAACTGAAAATATTCCTAAGCCTAGTATAGTACATATATGTACTATATTAAGCCTCAGATAATATGTATTAAGGCTATGAAGTTTTTTTTTTTTTTTTTTTTTTGCAATATCAATACAACAAATTTCTGGATTGTTCAAATTCAATAGTAGCAATTTCTACTTTTTAATTGCATTTTATGTCAATATATGTATGAGGGTCCTCAATGTTACTATAAGGACAGTACAGTATCACCTAAACTGGAAGATGGGCTGATAAAATCAACGTTAAACCCAAATATCATGCTTGTGGGACATGGTTAAAAAAAATAAGAACCCACTGAATTTCTTGAAATTGGTGACAAGCACTATTCTTAATTTTGTAATTTGTTTCTATTTAAAACTTGTTAAATAGTCTGTTTTGTTAATGAAAATTCTGAAAGTTTTGTTTATATAGTACAGTATTTTGTTTTGTAAAGGCTTTTTCATTATTTTTATAAAATTTAAATATACAGGCAGTCTTCCCCCCTTCACTATGAACAGGTTCCATTCTGAAAATGTGCTTGTGAATTTACCTGAGGGCCATTAATACTAGTGGCCTTGACAAGGACAGGAAGCTGGTGGCTTGTCAAAGGTCCCCCCCATTTGCCCGGATGATCTTTTCTATCTGTATTTTAAAACCCAGCAGAGTTTTGGCATTTACGGCTACGGCGGGAAGGCGATTCCACGGGTTTACAACTCTATGGGTGAAAAAGCATCTCCTGTTTTCTGGTCTACATTGTGGCTTGTTGAGCCTGAACCAGTTGCTCCCCGTTCGTGTTACATCTGACCTTTTGAAGAACGTGTCCGGATCGACATCGTCCAAATTAATTGGATAAATTGTTTAGTATTTTGAAGGTTAATATTAGATCTGCCCTATCATGCCTAGTCTGCACTGTTGTTAGCCCAGTGGCCCCTCAACCATTCCTGATACGAGAGATGACCAACCTCTGGTATGATTTTTGTTGGCTGGTGTTACACCTTCTCCAGTGCAGCTATGGCTTTCTGGAGATGAGGTCTTCATTCCTGGATGCAATAATCCAGGTGGGGGCACACCAGAGACTTATACAGTTGAATGACTACTTTCGTTTTCTTGAAGGTAAAGGTACGCTTGATTATTCCCAAGGTTGGGTTCGCTTTTTTCACTGCCGCTCCCACTAGTGCAACTTTTAGTGAATGATGGATTCTGATACCAAGGTCCTTTTCTTCATCTATCTGTTGTAAGGTAGTGCTGTTAATTTGGTAGCTGTCATGGATTGTTATACCCCACATGCAAGGTCTTGCATTTATCGACATTAAAGAGCATTTGCCAGTCATCTGACCATTTGTGTAGTTCATGCAGATCTCTGTAAGATCTTGATATCACTTTCACTTCCCATTTTACCATAGATCTTAGTGTCATCTGCAAATTTGATGATGTGGTTTGTAATATTCTCAGCTATGTCATTGATGTACTGTATATGACAAAAAAGGTTTGCCCCAAAATGAACCCCTGTGGGACCCCATTTAGCATATTTCCCCAGTTAGATTCATTCCCATTTAGCACGACTCTTTGTTTTCTGTTTTAAACATTGCTTTATTCATTTCAGTATTGTCCCTATTCTCCATTCTCCCAGTATTCTCCAGTATTCAAGTACAGTAAAATACTTGTTTGGAATGAGATTTCCAATAGGTGCAATGGTATAATTGGGAAGATACAGTCCTGGACCACCTAAAATCAAAACAAAGCCAATATTTTGGGATCATATAAAAGTACAGATTATTAGTTACCTTGAATGATGGAGTTGACCTACTTGTCAAAGTTGACTGTTTGTGAGGAGTGAAGAGATGGTGGAGGAGGCAGCAGTAAGTGATGATGCGAGGGTAGTAGGTAATATGTCGATGGCGGAGGTTGGTTTGTCATTACACACAGAAAACTTTTACCATGTCGTAGCTCAGTCGATTAAGGCAGCATCTGTGATGCTCTTGGACGCAGGTTCGAATCCTCGTCACGGCCCTTGTGGATTTGCTGGTTTGTCATCTTCATTGTCACTAGCTGTGTTTGATATGGATGCTTGTGGGTGGCAAATACCTGTGGGTCATCCATCATTAGTGTCACTATTTGCTGTAGAACTCAAAGGTTTTGATAATAACTTAATTTACCTCTTAAGGTAATGGCTTGCCACTTCCTTAGCACAAGTGCATAACCAAAACTTGTCCTCTTTCTCTTCCTATTGGACATTCTTAATGGTCTTTTCCTCAATCAGGTCCAAAGAATGCACAGCATGTTTAATCCAGGGGACGAGAAAACTGCTCACTGAGGCAGCGTGTATCTCTCAGATACATTTACCTGAATTTACCTGAGGGCCACTAATACTAGTGGCCAAGACGAGGAGAGGAAGCTGGCAGCTTGACAAAGGCTCTCTTCCATTTGTTCTGATGAACTTTTCTATCTGTATTTTAAAACACAGCAGAGTTTTGGCGTTTATGGCTTCAGCGGGAAGGCAGTTCCACGGGTTTACAACCCTATGGGTGAAAAAGCATGTCCTGTTTTCTGTCCTACATTGTGGCTTGTTGAGCTTGAACCCATTGCTCCTTGTTCATGTTACATATGATCTTTTGAAGAAAGTGTACATGTCACGTACACATGAGGGTTTGCCAACATATTTTGAAATCTACCTAACCTTACCCATCAAACCTAACCTTACCCAAATAAACCTAATGTAGCCTAACCAAGCTTAACACAGCATAATCTAAGCTAATACATCCTAACCTAATGATACACAGTATACAGGTTTAACAATCAGAAAAGGAGCTGTCTGAATCTTGTGTACAATCTGACTAGATCCCATCTCCTCTAGTGGGCTGTGCCCACTAGAGGAGCACATCTTTGTACCACTCTACACCACCAGGTGGCTGCTGCGTGAATGTTTTAGCACTGCTTGTAAAACTGGGGATGGTAGAGCAGGCTTGGTTACTGAATTAATGCATGAAAGTTGACTCAAAAGGTCATTTGGATGGAGGAGTAATTGCCTAGGTGTGCTTGCCGGGGTTGAGCTTTGGCTCTTTGGTCCCGCTTCTCAACTGGTGTACAGATTCCTGATACGAATGTTTGTATAACAGGGATCACCTGTGTAATTTAGTGTAATTTTTTGCAAATTATTATAAATTTTTGTATTGACATGTATTTATATAATTTTATATAATTTATTAATTATATAATTTATATAATTTTATATATTTATGTAATTTATATATTTATATAATTATAAAACAAAAATGACTAGGTATTAAGTAATGAAGCCATTTTTGTATTACTAAGAGGAGTTATCCTGCAGTCATAGTCTTAAAAGGTACGATCCTTTACACCTGTGATTGTTACTTGCATTTATTTGATAATCATTTAGGATACTGTAATAATGGTATGCAGTAGCTAGTAATTTTCTTGTTGTAGCCAGAGGTAAGTAGGTGGAAGAGGGAAGGTTGAACATAAGATGTGGAGAGTGAGAAAGCAGAGATTGAGTGTGAATAACATAAGAAATAGAGTAAGAGAAAAACTGGGTGGAGGGTGTGTGTATATTTGTTTTGCATAAAACAATTATGTGTATGTGCTTTATAAGAGCACATACACCTGGTCTTATAAAGTAATTACTTAAGTGTAATTATGAGAGCTATGCTTGTGGTGTCCCATCCTCTCAGTACTGTACGTTTCGTCATATGACGCTTTGAAACTTGATGGTTTTGGCTGCAACTTTCTCCCTTAATCTGTTCCTGCTGTCTACCACTTTGTTTGCAAAAATGAACTTTGTTTTTTTACTTTGTAGCTTTGTTTCCTTAGTATGAACCTATGTCCTCTTGTTCTTGAAGTAGCAGTTTTTAAAAATTGTCAATTTTGTTAATTCCTGTTTATATTTTGTATGTAGTCATTATATCACCTCTTTTTCTTATGTTTTTATTTTTATTTGATTTATATATATACAAGGTGGTACATTGGGTTTGAGAGTATGTACATAGGACTGATGTTTTTACATTCTTGTAAAGCCACTAACATGCATATTGTTTCGGGCAGGTCCTTAATCTAACAGATAATTTTAAGTAGGTAATTGGTAGAAAATTTTGAAGAATATTAACAGATACATAGTAAGAAAATTTGAACAAAATTAATAGGTACATTACTGTAAAATTCGAGAATTGTCAACAGGTACATTGTAGCATAATTTGAGGATTAATTCTACATACATTGTAGTAAAATTTGTATTCAACATAACAATCATGATATAAGATGATAGCAGTGATTACAATGGTGAAGTTGTATGGCTTAGGCACATAAACTAGGTTAGTTGATAGCACAAGATACAGTGTGAGTATGAAGCACTAGGTAGGAAACTATGTGGATGAAATTAGATACTTTTTGGTTTTACTGTTGAATAAGGTGTAGGTTGGACAGCTTTTTAATTCGTTAGGGAGTGAGTTCCATAGACTAAGTCCCTTTATTTGCATAGAATGTTTACACAGATTTAGTTTGACTCTGGGGATATCAAAGAAATATGTATTTCTGGTGTGGTGATTATGGGT